AAACTGGCTCTTGAGAGCAGCGGAAGTAACGCTGAGCCTCAAAGGTCAGAGTGTCTACGGATACTGCATATCCCCTCCTTACCCCCTGCCCCCAGCATGTGTACAGCCGAGGGGATGGGGAGAGACCAAAAGAAAAAAAAAAAAAAAGAACAGAAAAAAAAAAGGATTAGAGTTACGGCCGCCGCGGCGATTCATCCGAATCATGGCACCAGCAGCGGCCAAGACGGAGATCAGAGTGGAACCTCGGATGTGAATAAAGTTGACGAGACCAACGATGAGATGGGGAGTGACAGTTGTTTGTGACGGGTCAAGATGATTTGAGACGTTCTGTTCACAGACAAAATGACGGCATTTGCAGGGGGGAAAAGGCAACGGAAAGCTTCGAGAAGGTGTTGTGGCTGAAGCTCTGTCTCACGGGCTCAACATGAACATGCGCCATGAAATCATGGTCGTCACATCATCGGACGAAGGAGATGGGTCCCTCACATCATGGTCTGCGGGTATGACATATAGTTCGCGGAGATTTGTGTGGAAGCGACAAGTCAGAACCACTGCCGTCGCGGGGTTCATTGTATCGGCTCTACGAACCATTTGGTCTCTCTCTGTCCCTCCCCCCCTCTCTCTTCGTCTCTCTCGCCAAAAGAAATCGACAGATCACCCCCGGCCGTATGCGGTCGCAATATACGTACGCAAGGGCTTGGCAAGGGTTTACGGTGATAGCATGGGGCAGTGACGATGATGTAGGGTCGGACGCAGACGGAGGGTAGTATCTGGGTTCAGCCACTCTTTGGGCAGGAAAGACGACACTCATCAGCAGTGGTGGCGGCGGGCGTTGGCGCTTAACAAAAAGGGGGGGAATTGCATTGGTGTGGTATCGTTGGTCGCAAACAAGGAGCGAATATGACAGAAGATGTGGCTGGTGAGACCGACATCCACCTCTAGGCTTGATACAACACATAACCTGTTAAACGACGATCGTTCGGACTGGCATGTCACTAGTCCGCATACATCGCAGTACACACGCCGTGGCAACTTCATGCCACATCAAACCCGGCTTGTTCTCCACGCACTCAATGAGAATAATGATTGGGCGAGTAGTAAATACGGTGAACAAGCAAAGTCCAGAGACCGCCCAAACCTATGGAGGCTTTGTAAGGCCCTTCATCAGGCTTAACATGCATGGCAGAGGGAAAAGGAGTGTAGCCAGCCGTTTTCCTCTTCTGCGCGACTCAAATGTAGATTGCCGTACTACCGGAGGGTTGCATCTGTAGTTGCAGGTGCAGTTGCAGTAGCAGTTGCAGCCGTCCGAATGCAATAAGCCGTCGATCATTACAACGAGGCCAATGGCAGACTGTGAGATAAGCAAAGACATTCGAGGAACGTGGAGGAAAAGGCTAGTAGGGTATCTGCTTCCTGGGTCTGGTTGGCATACTGGTTTCTGCGTTGATCAGCCCGAGACAAGACGACAATAAACCTGGCACGATGGATGGTCATCTACCTGTTTTCGGAGACCGTGTACGAAATAGTTTGGGCTTGATTCAATCTTGGCGTCCAAGTCTCTTTGGCTGACTCTATGCAAGCACTTGCGTAGTCCGTATCAAGGCCACGCTGTACCCCACATTGTGCTGGTATGAATGCGATGTTAGGTACAATTATGGTGGTCAACGTTGGCGGGGTTTCGGTTTCCCCCCCGCCACACAGCTCACCTCGGGCAGGTTAACAAAACAGTCAGCTACTGTGGCTGTATCCACGTGTACGAGCTAGGGCCTTGATCATGCCATCTGCCGACCGTTTGCGACGAGGCTTGCCACCGTCGGACAGTCACGTTTTGTGGACATGTTGCGGTGATGGATGGGTGCAAGCTGGCCTTGTTTGTGGCGGACAATGAATGAATGCAATGCCAGGGTTCAGAGATGGCTGGAGTCGGGAATTGCTTCACGACGCCAGATTGAGATGAGAATGTGGTCAAGTTTCTGCGGGCGCTGAGCACAGTCCTTGGCGCGGGCTACGGGATCTGCTGGAACACAGATGGATGGCGAAGTGAGGTAAGCAGGGCTTCCCGATGGCAGGCATGCTGTGTGCATCCGTAGGACCGCTTCACTGGCGTATAATCTTGGGTACAGGTATGTATGGCAAAGCGCTCGGCGAGGTTCAGGCGTCGACGTTGAGGTATGTTGTGCATGTCGAATGCCCAGGCCATGCATGCAAAGGGCTGCGTGGTGTTTCGCTGCAGTCGTGAACGGGATGCGGCGCAGCCCAACGGCGATTCCGTACCTAACGGACGACCTTGGGTGGGTTCCACGTTTACAAGCGTCACCCGGCCCGTCACTTTGGGGCTTCTGGTTCTGGTTCAGACTGCGTGTCGGAAGGGTTCTTGACGCGATTCCGGGTTTGACTGAGCCTGCCCGAGTCTCGACGACGACGACGACGACGACGACCTGGACGACGACGACAGCAGAAGGTCGGCTTGATTCCACCTCTCTAAGCAAGCAAACGGATCGGTGTGCGGGACTGGGCTCCCTCAGACGATCAACAAACGCTGTTTAGAGGGGCTCTAAGCTACACCGCACCATTGGATTCACAGACGCAGAAATGCCAAAGTGAAAATTGGAGTGGCAGAGTCCAGGCCATGACCATCAGAGCCTTTGCGCCAAGGATGGCCAGCCGGACAACGACCGACGGAAGGGATGTAGTATCTATCTATCTCCTATGGTATCCATGTATGTATCGTATGTAAGAAACGTACTTACTGCTCTGCTTGACATCGCCGTGGTCCGAAGGAAGGAACACGTAAAGAATCTTCCATGCATCTGCCCGTCAGCAACACAAGTCCCGTCTGTCGGGTTTGAGGGGGGGGGGGGGGGGGAACAGAGTGGATGGGTGCCACGGGTGGAAGGCTTCCATGCTTCTAGAACCCTGCCCCTCTCGGTCTAGTGCGGAACCCCTGTCCTGCAGCTGCCTCCCACTGGACCCTCCTCTGGAGCGGCCAGGCACTCCCTGCTGGAACGGTGCCCGGGTCACTGCGGGTGGAACACAACTTCACTGACGCAGCGCCAAACACACGCGCGCACACTCAGCCCACTCTCACGCCCATGACCACGACCACCACAAGTTCACAACCGCGACGACCACCACCTCCTCCGACTGACCAAGGGAACGGCAACATGGACCAGGAGTTGTGGGCAAGACGAGCCATGCAGTGCAGTCACTCGTTGCCGCTCAGACGGGGAAATCCCTGAGTGATGCAACCAGACCAGGGCCCAGCGACGACGACCACGGTCACACTCACCACTTTGGAAATTTCCCTTCAGAAAAAGGTCCTGCCTGCCGCAAACTTGGCCAGTCAAATCCTGTATTCCCCGCGCATTGACTCTTAAGGTAATGCTCCCGCCGCTTACCTGAGTTGATAGTCAGCATATCATTCTCGTCCAACGCCGTCTTGTTGTCCAACAGTAGCAGCCCGCGCGACTCGCTAACACCGCACCGCTGCCCGTCCGTCGCTTGTTGACCTCACTTTCGTCTCCATTCCCATCCGCTTTTCCCCACTCCCACTCTCAACCTGATTTTTTTCTGAACAACTGTCAGTCGTTGCCGTCGCTGGAATGTGTCGTCGTTTCGTGAACCGAATCCCTCGGCTCGGTTTGCAAGGTCCACCTCAATCGAGTCCATGTTGGTTGTGGTCCTCGGCCCGCCCGCCTCCGACGATAACCTCATCACGCGGGCGCGGGCCACCCATTGCGCAGACTCCATCTGCGCCCTGCCCTGTCCTCCCAATCTTTCCCACGCCGGGTTGAGACGGAGTAGTATATTCAACACGATCTGCAGCAACATCAAGCAGATCCCCCCCATGCGCATCCCCAGAGATCCGCCTTTCTTCCGTCCCTCTCCGTACCTGATCCTGTCTCGAGAGAATAGCCGTCAATAACTGCGAACATCTGTCCAAGACGTAAAAAACATCATCTTCCCTCTCCGGCGCGGAGTGGCCGCCGCGCAACACTCCACCAGCTGCCCTTGCCGTGCCTCCCAACGGCCCCTGTTTTTCTTCTTCCTTTTTTTTACTTTTTTTTTCCCCCTCCCCTCTCGGCCAGTCCCTTCTTCTCGTTCCGCGTCTCTCATCTCTGACTTACATGTCGCCACCTCGGGAGCGCCAAACGCTTCAACAATGCACCTGCCTGAGTCGCTGAATCTTCGGAACCCGAGCCCACCTCTTCCCGCCTCTTGGCAGCTGCCTCGACTTGTGTCAAGACGGCCGACGGAACATCTGAACCCTGGGCAGATCGTGGGTCACGCTTGGCGAACACGACGGAATTCTCTTGCGGCCAGCCCATGGTCCGTCCCAATGAGCCCAGCTCGTTAAGGGACAGCGTTGCAGCCGTTGGTCGCGCAGAGATGTATTGGTCGTCGCTTAGCTTCCGCACCTGAAACCGCCTGCCCTGCAAACAAACACACCCAATCTCTGTTGCATTCGTCGGCTCGAAGCCGTCTCAAAGTGGTCCAGTATTTGCCAGCCGAGCTTTTGCGTCCCGTTCAATGCTCGAGCTTCCATGGATTGTGTATGGTAAACAAGGTGGAAGGGGACCGTAGAGAGCATTGGTTATCTGTATCGGCGGCACTAGTTTGTTTGCCCATCATCCACGTGATTCAGGACGGTTATAACCAAGCAACTGATCAAATTTAACCTCCAGTCCGCTACAGGCGAGGGTGGAATGCGAAAGGCCATGAAATTCGATTCGAAACATTGCAGGAGAAACGTGAATCGGTTTCTATGTGGTATCCCAAGAACTCCAAGCAGCTTTTTCAACGCCATTTGGCCTGTCCCTTTGACCAACTTGTCAGAAGCAAAAAGACGGCACCCCCATGTCGCCCCTCATCATTTCCATCTTCTCTCTACCCGTCCGTTTGACGACACAACAGTTTGGTCCTCAACACATTCAAAATATTGACCAACCCTCCATCCAGTCCAGTCAAACGACCGGGACTCTAAACCTGTTAGTAAGAACTCAGAGGTCGGCTAGATCAAAGTCGCCCTTGAACCCTTTGTTCAATAGCATCGCTGCGATTCTACGGCGCTGAAGTGGTAACTCATCCTTCGAGTATGCGTCGATGGCGTTGAGGCCCAACGCCAAACATATGCCATTGGTGATGGTGAACACGCCGCAGTCGTACCCGTTGTCTTGCTCTGGCGCCTCGTGGTTTACAACGCGCCACTCGTCTGCCTTGAAGTCGTCTCCAAGAACCGCCTGAACCCATGCTAGACCTCTCTTGGTATGTGTCGATGTGCCTCGCGGGTTGAGTGAATCCATGTGTGAAACTGTTCGCTTTTGTGGCCGAACAACCAGCAATGTCCAATGATTGCCGCTGCAGATGGGCATGAGGATCGTCTCAAGGCTGAGAAAAGTAGCCTTCGTAACCCCGTACCTTCGCAGCGCCCTTTCAGTATTCTGAACACCGTTGTCCACTAGTCTCTTATAGAAGAATGAGTTCATGGCGAGGCATACCCTCTTCGTCGACTTGACATCGGTTGCGCCGGCCGCTTCATTGACATATCGATCCAGCCACAGCAGCGAGCCGTTAACGATTTCGTCGTTAAGCCATTCGGTTTCCGGAACGACCTTGAGGAAGTCGTGTCGCCTGAGTTCCACATTTTCGGCCGTTTTAGCGAGCACCTGCTGGGGGTCTGCATGAATACTGTCTTGCACTTTTGCCGCCCAATATGTCGACAGCGACTTGACTAATCGCTTCTTGGGGACGCGGAGGCCTCCCGTTCGTTGCAGTCTTTCTTCCTCCGCCTCCTTGGCTTTCCTGCCTTCCTCGGCACGTCGTTGTGCTTCGCCCTCATCAAGCATCAACTGCAAGGCAGCGCTCAGGTCATCTAATTCTCCTTCCTTATCATCCGAAATTCTCAACCCAGCCAATGTCGGGGGGCTCGGCGATCTTGTAGGAACTCTTGGGGGCTCGCTGTCATCGGAGAGAGCTCTCAACTTGTGGCCTCTGATGGACGAGTTTAGATGTTGCACAAGCCTGGGCCTATATCTAGCCATGGTATCCTCGCTTTCGGTGTCTTCGGAAGTGTTGTCTGACTCCGCTTCAGTCTCTGGATCCTGGGTTGTGACCTCAGACCTTCGACTGTCGGGTGATCCGTCAGCCTGTGTCCCACCGAGGAAACTCTCAGCTTCATCCTTCCGAACTTGAGAGCCTGTGCTTGCTTCGGCGCGAGAGCGAAAGAACTTGGAGAGGAAGCCAGTGGGCTTGCCTGGAGACGGCAAGGATTGCTTCGATGGGGAAGAGAAGTGCACCCTCTTCAATCCTCGCGATTTCTGTAAGCGCTTCAATGCTGGTGACGACTTGTCTCTCTTGGAGATTGGACTTATGATCCCCTTGGGTACAGGATCCTCAGAAGTCCCTTCAATCGTCGTTTGCGTGTGCGAAGGCTTTCCTTTCGTTTCCATCTCAGCAAGGTGCTCTCGAATGTAAGCGTAGGTATCCGTTTCCGTGACCGGCATAAATGCCTTTGGCGGGTTTCCCTTCGATTGCCGCTCCTCAGAACCAACCGCAATGTTACTCGCCTCCGAGACTGCCGGCTCCTTCTTCCGTGTATCTGGAAAGTTGCTGGGGAAACTGCCAGGCATGACATAATCCGTAGAGTCGACGCCGAAACTATCGCGCCCTCGAAAGAACTTCATCATCTTGCCAACAAAGCCGGCTTTGTGAACTAGCCCAGGCATTGGTTTCTTCGTTACGATGGCATTCAAGTCAGCGCTGACCCCTTTGATGACCCTTGGTGTAACCCCTGCCTCGATTAAAGACGAGGCACACTCATCAGGCAAGTCATCGAGAAATAGCTTTGCTGCTGAGATGGCGAGGTACTCATCCGGGTTTGTTGCGTAGTCCATTGTCGGTTGCGGAAGCCTTGACATCTCCTTCAACCTGACCAGGAACGTATGGGAGTAAATATGCTCAAGAATCGCCGCAGTCTGCTGAAGAGTCCTCAGATTAGCGCTTAGAGCGTAAAGTCGTCGGGAGCGGGGTTCGTCATCCGGTCGAGAGCTAGGTGAGCTGGTCCTCTCTCTCGCACGGCCTTTCTGGATACGGCGGTCGATATCTCTTAACGCTCGTACGAGCAGAGCAACTTGATGCCAATTCGCCGTTCTTGTCGATTCGTCAACCCAAACAAGGTTTGTCTTTGGAGATTGCGGTTCGGCCCCTCGCTGCTCCTCTCGTGAGCTCTCGGTGCTAGCTGAGTCCGTATGAGATTCCAGTTTTATCCGTTTGGTGGTGATGCTGCCACTCTGTTCGTCGCGGGAGCGAAGTTCGACTGCATTATAGTTGCGGGGATAAACTAAGCACGGGTCAGACTCCAGTACAAGCAATAGTCTTGATCGGCAGCGTACCGTAGCCAGTAATGCTGTTGGAAACTTTGGTTACTGCACCGCGAACTGATGTCATGGTATCAAGCAGCCAAGCCGTATGGCCAGTGGCTCTCTGCGCTTTGTTAACCACTGTCCACGGGCTGAAGGTGGAGGAGTGACCAACGCCCTGCTTGTTCGGGTCCAGGGGACTTTGTCGATTGGGTGAGTCCTCCTCAAATTGGGCCTGGTCGGCAATGCCTGCGATCAAATCCCACTCGGGGTCTTGAGCCCGGCGCTTGCGCGACGTGCTCGTCGGTGTTGCCGCAGAGCGGAAAATGCTTTTCCTCCTGGAAGGCGGTAAAAGAATCAACCTATTCCGACCACGTCTCGGCTGTTCGTGGCCCTCAAAGGACTTTGACTCGGCGCTTTTTGGTTCGTCTGGTGTGCGCTCGGTATCGCAGCAAGTCTTCCGGACCGTGAGATTCGCTAATGTTGCACCTCTGCGCAAGCTGGGTTGACCCGTTCGTTCTGTTCTATAGCGGCCGCCAACGTAGCTTTTCAGCTGGCTAGGAATTATGCAGCCAGCGAGGGGGTCGCGGGAGTCAAGACCAGGGTTGTAGAGAAGAGCAGAACCGGGAACCGGGTATGGGTGCCAGAGGTATTCGAATGCGGAAGGTTGGATCTGCGCCCGTGAAGCACAGCGCTCGAGGAAATCGGTTGGTTTTCGCAAGAAACCGTGAGGACGAGGGCGGCGACGACGATGCTGAGAGTTGTCTTGCTTCATGGCTGTTAGCTTGCAGGTAGCATGACAGAATGGTTGAGCAGGAGACATGGTGTCATGGGAAGGGCCAAAGATGCGAGGAACTGAAAACGTGAAAGGTGTGAGGGGCGAAAGAAACGCCGGAGCTTTACAATAAAATGGCGCGGCGTCTGGTAAGACCGGAGAGTAGGGGCGGCGGCGAGTTGAGGCTTGTGTTGTTATTGTTGTCTGCGTCGGAATTATTGGAGATGGCGGTGGTGGATCGCGAAATGGAGGGCAAGCGCACGGGCTGAGGAATTGAAAGATGATTGATATCTTCTGAAAGTTCGTCGGAAGAGGGTGCGGTCGCGGTTGGGGAAGGAACAGCAGTTGCGAAATCCCCATCGGAGGACAGCCTGGTGATGAAGTTGGTGATTTGAGGAAAGAGTCACCACTGGGTGCAACTTACATTTTTTGGTAGCTCAGGAAACCACCAGGCCTACCTTAGGTACCTAGGAAGAGAAAGGTAAAGTAGGTACTACCTAGGTACCCTGCCTACCTAGATGACCACCTAGGTGCCTTCCTGCTTGTGGAAAGGTACCTAGGCAGGTAGCTTACCTACGCTGATAGTCAAAGACCTCCACTGACCTAGTTAGGTACCTCCCATACAGAAGGTACAGCGTACCTACCTAATGGAAGTGTCTAGGTAGGTTCCTAGGCTGCGCATGGCTCGGGGATGGATTACCGGGGTGCTGTTCACTGAACGCTCCGACGCAGCTTCAGTGTTTCCGTCCTTCAACCTTCAACCGGTGCCCCGTGGCATGCAGATGCGTGGGGTCGGCCCACGCGGTTAGGTACCTTACAGTGTACCTTAGGTTTATTCGATCACCTCACACCTTACCTACCAGATATGGATAGGTGCTGCAGTGACTTGATTGCATCCCGACAACAATTAAGATAGAGACCAAAGCAACTGCAGTGCGCGCGGATAAGAACATGCACGAGTTGGAAAAGAGTCGAAGGGTCTAGTAGAGATACAAAATTCTAATTGATACTGATCGCAGGCCACATTCATCCAAGTGTCCCGACTGCGCACCTCACGGGTTCTCGCCCCTCATCAAGGGCAGCATGTCGCTGCTCTGAGTTATTTACAACAATCAAGAATTCCTCCTCATACAAACGCCGCCGGCCTCTACATGAATCAAAGCTGGGCAAGAGTCTCTCCTAGCTTCTTCGTGCAGAAGGTGCTGAAGTACTCGTTTAGTGCGTCAACCGTGCCGCGACCCTCCACCAACTTTGCAACCATGCCTACGTATCCGTCTGGGCGCACGACAACAACACCACCCCTTTCCTCGTCCAACCCCATCTTGGCGTGGGCCGCTGCCTTGGCGTCCAAGTGACGGCGGTCCCATCTGTCGTCTGCGTAGACGTGCTCGCGGTAACGTCCGATTACATCCGGGACATCGCGCGAAATCTCGATGCTGCTTCTGCTGGCGGCAAATATGGTACAAATGGTGAAGAAAAGACTGTGTGGGTTGTGCTTCTCGTGATGAGAGACGCTGTCAACGTCGTCTCTGACGTATGCGGCATAAAACGACCGCTTGTTGTTCATGTGGCTGGCGAAGTCCTTCAGGGCAGCCTTCGTGACCGAAGGCTTGCCAGCAAATATGAAGATACGGAACGAACCGTTCAAAGGGACCTCTTGCTCCAGGTGAACAACATTGGCATCGACAACTCTTGTCACGTCGGCATTCATGAAGAGCCGTCCCGTGCGAAGCTTAGTGCCTTCGCGGTGAATCAGAGGTGATTTCGCCGGGTGTGATTCGGACCAGTTTAGAGAGTTGGGCTTGTATGCTACACCATAGCCACTGGTAAATTCGCAAGACTCCTTGAAGGTCTGAATGAATTCGTTGTCTGAGCCGTCGGTAATAGCCTTGTCCGAAGCAGCCTCGACTTCGCTGGCAGCCGGCGGTCGTTTCGAGAACAGTGCTGCATACTTGTTGTCAAAGTTGAGCAGCGTCTCGGCGACATCTCTGCGCTCGGTCTCGTAAGTCTTGAGAATATCCCGATGGGCGAAACCAGCTTCTACTGCATGAATCTTCCAGGCCAGGTTCTGGGCGTCCAGAAATGCTGTGTTCATGCCCTGGCCAGCCTTGGGCTGCAGTAATTTGTCAGTAACTTCAGTCACGCAACCCAGATACAGTCCGACGTACGCTGTGGGTGTGGCAAGCATCGCCCCCTAGGAAAACTCGATGATCCAAGGTGTAACGGTCTGAGATGCCTTGGCCGATGGGGTAGACTGAATACCACTCAGTCCTCTCCCATTCGATGCTGTACGGCTGGAGGATTCGCTTCGCAGATTCCTGAACTTCTTCTTCTGTAGCTGTCTTTCTGGGATCGAAATCGGGATCCGTCGAGGAGGCAATCTGGATATAGAGGCGCACCATGTTGTCTTCTCGAGGGATGACCATGATAGAACCATGCTTGCTGTGGATGGTGCATTTCATCTAACTTCGGTTAGCCAGCGTTCTATCGAGCGTGATGATGCCTAGAAGCGTGCCTTGATATCAGGGAAATCGGTCTTGACCACGCCGTCCATGACGCCCCATACGTGGGAGATGGGGTCCTTGTGCTTTATGCCAATCTGCAACTGGTTTCTGATGAATGAACGCGCGCCTTCACCTCCAAACAGATACTTGGCGCGCACAGTTTCATGAGCAGTACCATCGACGTGCTCCAACTGGACTTCGACAGGATACTCTGGGTTCTCTGCCTCATTGGAGGTGAACCCCGTAATTGTCCATGGTCGCTGGATTTGAGTGCCGTTCTTGTTGAGGTCAGAGATGAAGACTCGCTCGATGTGGCCCTGGTGCAACAGAGTTGTGAAGGGATACCTGGCGTCGATAAAGCTTGGACAACTGGCCCAGGTGCCCGTTCTTGCGATTCCAGTGCCATTCTTTGGGGGATCCCAGAACGCAACCTCGTATACTCTGGCTGGCTTGTGGGCCATGATGGCTGATTTGAGACCCATGTTCCGGAGCAAATCCAAGGAACGAGGCTGAATGCCGTCCGCTCTTCCGGTCGGTGTCGGCTCAGCTCGATTGTCAATGTGCTTGATCTTGTAACCCCATCTGGCCAAGCAAGTCGACAGCATGAGTCCTACGGGCCCAGCCCCAACGATGACTTTCTCTGTCAGAAGATACGCTTAGAGAGATGGAAACAGTGTCGGCCTTACCGATATCGTAGAGCATCGAGCCCGACTGGCGATCTGGTTGGGTTTCCATGATGTGAATTAGTTGAGAGGTAGGGTGGTGCTGTTGTAGGGGTCTTATCAAGAGTTCACTGTGTACTCAGATGCCTGTGGCACGCACTTGGAGAAGCGATGTAAAGAAAGAGAAGAGGAACCCAGGGACGAACGCATTCACGCGAGAATACACGCACAGGAAGTCGTGGAGGCAAGAATGTAGGTTATATATGGCAGCCGGCCGATTGGCGCAGAATTTCCACATCAATGGACGACTAGGGTAACTGACGACCCGCGGGGAGATCTGGATCCAGTGAGACTCATCCGAAGGGGACCGAGATGCTAAAAGCTCGCCGGCACAGAGAGTCGGTAAGCAGAACGGGGACGGCAAGACAGGCCGGGAACTCCAAATCCCCACATTGAGGCAACAGAAGTATCTCGTTGGGCAGTGCTCGCAGTGGTAAAGGGCATGCCGTTCATTCGATCCGTGTAGGTATGGAGACTTTAGAGTCAGGAAAGGGCACGTCATGGGGGAAAGGGAGGGGCGCCTGGGTGGCGCATTTGGGGGATGAGATTGAGTCTCGATACTTTGGCTGGGTGCTTATCCCTGCCTGGGGCAACGCAGCCCAGACAAAAGGGACTCGGGAAGTCGAGTCGGCAAGTCGGTGGTGGGGCCGTGTGCTTTGGGAAGGTCCACGGGAGGTATCTTTTGTCCACCTCCGATCTTTAACACTGGACTGCCCTGAGAGATGCCGTCCGCGAAGGCCGATGGGAGCAGCTTGATAGGCCCCAACAGTCATGTGTGGGCCAAGTCATTTGGGGTTCCCGGAAGTTGGAGAAGCAGGCAAGTGCGGGGAAGGGGGCTGCACCCCAAAGTGCCCGGAAACGCTGCGGCTGTGAATGCGCCGAACCGAGCCTACCCTGCCTGGCCGCCACGCTGGCACTGAGGATGGAAGGTACGTGGAGAAATGGACGTAGCGAATCCGAATCTGTAATCCGTCTGCTGTCATTTGCACTGGCCTTAAGGGTCCACAGGCACAAGGTGGAACAAAAAAACAAAAGAAAAAACATTCCCGTACCATGTCCGGACACGAGTGCCCAATGAGTCTTCTCTCTTTGCTTCCCGCTCAACGATGCCGACCAAAACACTCATGCATAAGGTAGTACGTAAAGTAGGAAAGAGGGGGGGGGGGGGG